AATGCATAAAGATATCGACATCCTATTAGTGAGCTGAAATGAACTAGTATGGGCCATTTAGAATCTAACAATCACATGGTTTACTAAGCTAGAAATGACAAATTGAAGAGGAATGGCATAGCATTCATCATCAAAAAGAACATTTACCTTGAAGTATACAGCTTGTAGGCATATGGAGGGTATTTTATCACAGACAAAGTACAATGCTGTCTGTGATAGGATAATATCCATACACCTACAAGGAAGACCAGATAATACCACTACTCAAACTTACGCACAAACCATTAAAACTGAAGAATTCTACCAACTTCTTCAGTGTGAAACTGATCAAACATGCAATCAAGATGTATTGATAATCACTGGTGACTGGAATGCAAAGATTGGGAACAAAAAAGAAGGATCCGTAGTTGGAAAATATGGCCATGGTGATAGAAATGATGCTGGAACTCACATAATAGAATTTTGCAACACCAATGACTTATTCACTGCAAATATCTTTTTTTACCAGCATAAAAGATAACTACACACATGGACCTAACCAGATGGAATACACAGAAATCAAATTAACTACATCTGTGGAAATAGATGGTGGAAAAGCTCCGTGTCATCCAAAACAAGGCCAGGGGCAGACTGTAAAACAGACCATCAATTGTTCATGTGCAAATTTAGGCTGAAGCTGAAAAAAACTACAAATCCACAAGAGCCAAAATATGACCTTGAACATATACCTGAATTTAGAGATCATAGAGAACAGATTAGATGCTAAAGACTGAAGACCAGAAGAGCTGTGGGATTGACATCATGAACATCATACAAGAAGAAAGGAAAAGGTCATGAAGAAGCCAAGAAAGAAGAAAAAGGCCAAAATGGATATCAGAAGAGACCCTGAAACTTGTTCTCCAGCATAATGATACTAAAGCAAATGGAAAAAACAAAGAGGTAAATGAGTTAAACAGAAAATTTCAAAGGACATCGTGAGAAGACAAAGTTAAGTAATATAATGAAATGTGCAAAGACCAGAGTTGGAAAACAAAAGGAAGGAACACACTCAGCATTCCTCAACCAGAAAAAAACTGAAGAAAAAATTCAAGTCTTGACTTGCTATGCTGAAGGATTCGATGGGCAAAATATTGAATGATGAATGATGCAAAAATCATCAAAAACAGATGGAAGGAATACAGAGAGCCACTGCATTCAAAAAGAAATGATTGATGTTCAACCATTACAAGAGGTAGCATATGATTTAGAGCCAATGATAATGAAGGAAGAAGTCCAGGATGCACTGAAGCCATTGGCAACGAACAAGGCTCCAGGAATTTATGGTGTACAAATTGAAATTGAGGCAGCACTGGTGGCACTCACTCATCTATGCCAAGATATTTGTAAGACAGCTACCTGGCCAACTGATTGGAAGAGATCCATATTTGTGCCAATTCCAAAGAGAGGTGACCCAACAGAAATCATCAGACATCATTAATATCACATGCAAGAAAATTTCTGATAAATTTAAGAACAGCTACAACAGTATATTGACAGGGAACTGCAGAGGTTCAAGACTAATTCAGACATGGATGTGGAGTCAGAAATATTATTGGTGACTTCAGATGGATCTTAGCTAAAAGCAGAGAATACCAGAGATGTTTGTCTATGCTTTTATTGACTACGCAAAGGCCTTTGATTGTGTGGATCATGACAAGCTATGACAAACTTTGTGGAGAATGAGTACTCCAGAACACTTAACTGTGTTTATGAGGAGCCTGCACATAGGCCAAGAGGCAGTCATTCGAGCAAAACAAGTGGACACTGAATGGTTTAAAATTAGGAAAGGTGTGCACCAGGGTTGTACTCTTTCACCCTTATTCAATCTGTACACTGAGCAGATAATCTGAAAAGACAGGTTATATTAGGAAGAACATGGCATCAGGACTGGAGGACTCATTAACAACCTGTGATATGCAAATGATACAAATAGGATTCCCCAGT